CAGTCCAAAAAGCAATGGGAACTGATTATTTTGGGGGAGGGATAGCTCAGTGGTTTGAGCATTGGCCTGCTAAACCCAGCATTGTGAGCTCAAACCTTGAGGGGGCCATTTAGGGAGCTGAGGCAAAAACTGGGGATTGGTACTGCTTTGAGCAGGGGGTTGGACTAGATGACCTTCAGAGGTCCCTTCCAACCCTGCTATTCTATGATTGATTTGTTTTAAAATTTATATTTCATTTTTACCATTTACAGAGCATATATGAGTATACATTAATGGCCCTGATCCTGCAAAGCAGCCTATATGGGTTACCTCTTACCCCACCTCCAGATCCCAATTGACTACATCCAATCAGTGTCACAGTTCATGGCAACTGAACTAGTACTGCCCCTGTGTGGTCCACCAAGGGCACCCACTCTCAGGCTTGTGACTCCCCGGCTGTCACGTTTCTTGGGAAGAGACATGCGTCTCACTCCCTCCTGACCAGGGTATTTGCAGGTGGCAAAGTTCCTTGCCTGCTCTATGAATTCCCCAGCAAGTCAGACTGCCTGAATAGGCCTGCTTTGCTTTTCTCCTCATAGGCTATAATCAGCGTAATTGCGCATAGTTATAAGGTACCATACACCTTTTCCTAATCAAGCCATTTATTCTTAAGGTGAAAACATTATAGAGAAAATATATTTAAACAATAAAGAAACCTACACACATGCTTATCAGAGCTCACTGCAACTCCAGCAAGGGCTCCAGTCCTTCAAACCCCACCAAGGGCGTTTTCTCTAAGGTTACAAGTTCATAACCACCTTGGCTCAGAATGAACACACTCATGAATGTATGAGCCACTCCTGTATACAGGATGGGCCTCTGATCTTAGAATCATAGAATATCAGGGTTGGAAGGGAACTCAGGAGGTCATCTAGTCCAACCCCCTGCTCAAAGCAGGACCAATCCCCAACTAAATCATCCCAGCCAGGGCTTTGTCAAGCCTGACCTTAAAAACCCCTAAGAAAGAGATTCCACCACCTCCCTAGGTAACCCATTCCAGTGCTTCACCACCCTCCTAGTGAAAAAGTATTTCCTAATATCCAACCTAAACCTCCCCCACTGCAACTTGAGACCATTACTCCTCATTCTGTCATCTGATACCACTGAGAACAGTCTAGATCCATCCTTTTTGGAACCCCCTTTCAGGTAGTTGAAAGCAGCTATCAAATCCCACCTCATTCTTCTCTTCCACAGACAAAACAATCCCAATTCCCTCAACCTCTCCTTATAAGTCATGTGTTCCAGTCCCCTAATCATTTTTGTTGCCCTCCACTGGATGCTTTCCAATTTTTTCACATCCTTCTTGTAGAGTGGGGCCCAAAACTGGACACAGTACTCCAGATGAGGCCTCATCAATGTCAAATAGAGGAGAATGATCACGTCCCTCGATCTGCTGGCAATGCTCCTACTTATACCTCCCAAAATGCCATTAGCCTTCTTGGCAACAAGGGAACACTGTTGACTCATATCCAGCTTCTAGTCCACTGTAATCCCTAGGTCCTTTTCTGCAGAACTGCTGCCTAGCCATTCGGTCCCTAGTCTGGTAGCAGTGCATGGGATTCTTCCGTCCTAAGTGCAGGACACTGCACTTGTCCTTGTGCTTCAGAATTGATTCCTTGAGGACCTGCTCCATGATTTTTCCAGGGACTGAGGTGAGGCTGACTGACCTGTAGTTCCCCGGATCCTCCTCCTTCCCTTTTTTAAAGATGGGCACTACATTAGCCTTTTTCCAGTCGTCCGGGACCACCCCCAATCGCCATGACTTTTCAAAGATAATGGCCAATGGCTCTACAATCACATCCGCCAACTTCTTTAGCACTCTTGGATGCAGCACATCTGGCCCCATGGACTTGTTCTTGTCCAGCTTTTCTAAATAGTCCCAAACCACTTCTTTCTCCATAAAGGGCTGGTCACTTCCTCCCCATGCTGTGCTGCCCAGGGCCGTAGTCTGGGAGTTGACCTTATTCGTGAAGACAGAGGCAAAAAAAGCATTGAGTACATTAGCTTTTTCCACATCCTCTGTCATTAGGTTGCTTCCCTCATTCAGTAAGGGGCCCACACTTTCCTTGACTTTCTTCTTGTTGCTAACATACCTGAAGAAACCCTTCTTGTTACTCTTAACATCTCTTGCTAGCTGCAACTCCAAATGTCATTTGGCCTTTCTGATTTCACTCCTGCATGCCTGAGGAATATATTTATACTCCTCCCTGGTCATTTGTGCAATCTTCCACTTCTTGTAAGCTTCTTTTTTGTGTTTTAAGATCAGCAAGGATTTCACTGTTAAGCCAAGCTGGTCGCCTGCCATATTTACTATTCTTTCTACACATCGGGATGGTTTGTTCCTGTAATCTCAATAAGGATTCTTTAAAATACAGCCAGCTCTCCTGGACTCCTTTCCCCCTCATGTTATTCTCCCAGGGGATCCTGCCCATCAGTTCCCTAAGGGAGTCAGTCTGCTTTTCTGAAGGCCAGGGTCCATATTCTGCTGTTCTCCTTTCTTCCTTGTGTCAGGATCCTGAACTCGACCATCTCATGGTAACTGCCTCCCAGGTTCCCATCCACTTTTGCTTCCCCGACTAATTCTTCCCGGTTTGTGAGCAGCAGGTCAAGAAGAGCTCTGCCCCTAGTTGGTTCCTCCAGCACTTGCACCAGGAAATTGTCCCCTACATTTTCCAGAAACTTCGTGGATTATCTGTGCACCGCTGTATTGCTCTCCCAACAGATATCAGGGTGATTGAAGTCTCCCATGAGAATCAGGGCCTGCGATCTAGTAACTTCCATTGGTTGCCGGAAGAAAGCCTCATCCACCTCATCCCCCTGGTCCAGTGGTCTATAGCAGATTCCCACCACGACATCACCTTTGTTGCTCACATTTCTAAACTTAATCCAGAGACTCTCAGGTTTTTCTGCAGTTTCATACTGGAGCTCTGAGCAGTCATACTGCTCTCTTACATACAGTGCAACTCCCCCACCTTTTCTGCCCTGCCTGTCCTTCCTGAACAGTTTATATCCATCCATGACAGTACTCCAGTCATGTGAGTTATCCCACCAAGTTTCTGTTATTCCAATCACATCATAATTCCTTGACTGTGCCAGGACTTCCAGTTCTCCCTGCTTGTTTCCCAGGCTTCTTGCATTTGTGTATAGGCACTTGAGATAACTCGCTGATCATCCCTCTTTCTCAGTATGAGGCAGGAGCCCTCCCCTCTCGTGCTCTCCTGCTCGTGCTTCCTCCCGGTATCGCACTTCCCCACTTACCTCAGGGCTTTGGTCTCCTTCCCCGGTGAACCTAGTTTAAAGCCCTCCTCACTAGGTTAGCCAGCCTGCTTGCGAAGATGCTCTTCCTCTTTTTGTTAGGTGGAGCCCATCTCTGCCTAGCACTTCTCCTTCTTGGAACACCTCCCATGGTCAAAGAATCCAGAGCCTTCTCTCCGACACCACCTGCGTAGCCATTCATTGACTTCCACGATTCAACGGTCTCTACCCGGGCCTTTTTCTTCCATGGGGAGGATGGACGAGAACACCACTTGCACCTCAAACTCCTTTATCCTTCTTTCCAGAGCCACGTAGTCTTCAGTGATCTGCTCGAGGTCATTCTTGGCAGTATCATCTTGTCCTCATGTAACAGGCGATCAGCAGACAAAGGTCCCTCCTCAGGAACGTGGCAATGCTTCAAAAGGCTGAGTTCTTACATAACCAGAGGTATATTAGTATACACCACCCCTAGAGATTTTGTGGGAGACCCACTTAACTTTAAAAGTTCATACTTGTCTGGTCCATTGTTTCAAATAGTCCTTAGAAGCTCATAATACTTCCCAGGGTTTACATTAGCCATGTTTCCCTACTAGAAATGTTACATACAATCCCACAATAATATGCAATAATTTGCATATTTCATACAATGAGCTCCTAAAACTTAATTCAATAAGGTTTGTCCAGAATATTGCAGGAAATTATCATATCTGTCACAATCTGCTATTATATATACAGGACCCGGGGCCATGTGAGTTCTTTCCTCTGTGTGGACTCCTACAGGCATTCTGTCTTTGAAATTGGTGACATGGATTTGCTAAAATCTTGCAATCTGTATCTGTCATGCAGGCTGTACCCATACCTGTATTATAAGATTTAGAACTATATCAAAAATCTGCATGCTTCATAAAATCCATTTTGTTTCAAGGCCACAGATCCACAAAGTCCTTGAGTGCAATGTTAACTTTAAGCACATTGACTTTAATGGGACTACTTGTGTGCTTACAATTAAGCATGTGCTTAAGATCTTTGTTTGATCAGTGCCAGAGACAGTCTGATCCTTGGAGAAGAAGTATTTGGGATGTATTTTTATTTGTGCTGCTTTAACTAGCTATATATTGATTCAAGTGTGGTCAAAGGGTTTGAGTGAGAAAGTTTTGTCATATTACACTCCATGTGATTGCTAAACTATAATTTGTCTGCTTCACCATCAATGAGGACCAGCATTCAGCCCAGACAATTTTTTCCCGACAAGCATAAAAGCTACCTCATTAGAAAGTCAGGTAAAAGGAGTAGTATATTTGAAATGATCTTTAAAAATTTAGGCTTAAGTCCTAAGTAATGTATATTTCCTAGTTCATTAATGCAGAAATACTGCACAGAGATTTTAATCTTAGAGTTAATAATAAAAGCAATTTTCACTAAAAATATAAAAACTGTAATGGTAGAATCATGATATTGCATTTAGCTCTCCCACAAAAAGTCACTTTATTACTTTCTTTTGACACTTATTTTCATTCTGGGATTAATTTTACTATATAAGGGCTTCTTAACTATTCTATTAAAATTTCCATTCAGAAGCAATAATATCTAAGAGTGAATAATAGTCATGTAAATCATTATTTCATATTAATGTAAAAGATTTTGTAAGTTCTTATGAATTCTGCTGACATGCACAATTGTGAAAAGGTTATCTCTACATTCTGCAGTGATATGCGCTGGAACAAAGGAACTATTTTAAAAGCATCAGTGGAGTACATCAAGTGGCTACAAAAAGAACAACAGAGAGCTAGAGAATTAGAACACAGACAGAAGAAATTAGAGCAGACTAACAGAAGACTTCTACTTCGAATTCAGGTTTGTATAAGAATGTCACTATGAACTACAAAGATTTCTCACTACTTATCCATCATCGAATTTAATTCATCTGTATCATTTTTTTTCTCTTAAATGCCATTTATTAAAAGTGGATTGGCCTTTTTCAGGAATGGTACAATTTTACATAATTTTGCGAGTCTGTATTTATTGCTATGCAAGTTCTTTAGATTTCTAGAAAAATCCTTTGATAATTAGGCCTTATGCAAGGTAACATATTTATAGAGAACTAATACAATATTTTGAAGAAATGTTGCCTTATGTAGTATATCTACATTATAACTACAGCAAAAAAATTCATTTGTTTCCCTAAAACTATATTGAACACTAAATCCTCCTCCATATTTTCTTTTCCTCTTTGTAAAATTTCCACGGCATTGCATTGCCTTGGGGTACATTGTGCCATGTTATATTAAGTCACACATCATCTGCTCATGTGACAAAGTATCAGAATCTGGTCTCCATAGCTTGAAATGCAAGATTTAAAGAAATATATAATCAGGTAAGGTACCCGCTATCTCTCCAGATAGCAGCCTTGAATTTTTGTGGATAATTAATAAGTAGAAATATCTGCAGCATTTTTCCATCACCTTTAAGTGGTTCAGTACTGTAGGTAATGGTATTATGGGGATTGTCATCTCATATTCCCGTAGGGCGTTCACTTAGCTACAGGCTGAGAATTAAAAAGAAAACCAGCCCAGGTTGTTTGTTATTTATCATGGATTGTCCATATATGGTATTTTTAAACATATTGCCACAAGTGGATTAAGAATTTACTGTGCACGTACAATCTATATGCATATTTCTTACCTACAGTGGTTCTAAAGAAATGAAGTTCCCTTCCAAAATCATTATTTAAATCTTTTTTGTTTGAAACCTTAGGAACTAGAAATACAGGCTCGTGCTCATGGGCTACCACTCATGTCTTCACTCAGTGCTGTGGATGTAGCTGCCCAGGTCATCAAGCAACAGACATATCCAGAGGAGAATTCCATAGACTATTCTCAGCAACTGGTTCTGGTACATGGACCAAGTGCTGATCTTTGTGATGGATCCACAGCCTTTTCTGATCCTCTCTCGCATTTCACCGATTTGTCTTTTAGTGCTGCTTCAAAAGAAGAACAAAGGTTAGAAGAAATCTTACTGGATGACACAATATCGCCATTTGGAACAGATCCACTCTTGTCTTCAATATCACCTGCTGCATCAAAAGAGAGCAGCAGAAGAAGTAGCTTTAGCACAGATGATGGAGATGATTTCTAAAACTAGAAAGGGCATAATTAATTTTGATAATCTTTTGTTGGTGCTAAGAGATTGTATTATGAATTTAAGTGTGATGTTTGTACTCAGTTCTAAGAAGGTGGAGAACTGTTGTGGACATAAGCTGCTGCATGGGTAGGATGTAGGTGACTGCATATGTCACAGAAAGATGAAAGATGGACCTGGATTCATATCTCTTTGCCCAGAATTGACTACACCTGTTCAGAGCTAGCATTTGCACAGACACTTCCTTGTTCACTGGGAAGGCTTTAGCCATTTCCCCTCACATTCTCACAGCAGTATTAAAATGGTTCCCAGAAAAATGAAGACCCACATTGCAAAAACTCTGTGGAATCTACCACTCGGTTCACTCAAATTTAACAATGTTTTAGTCAGAAATATTTGTTAATTTCTTTTTAAATGAAAAGGAGAAATTTCAATATATACAACAATTGCAACACAACAATGAGGAAATGTTTGAATGTGATGTTCCTGCAATAGAGAGGTTACAAACATCAAAAAAAAAAGGGAGCACAGGGCTCTTGTCAGAGTAAAGTCCGCATAAATTCAGTGCTTCATGAACTGCATCTCCTTCTTTTTATAATGAAGCCACAAAGTCCATAAAGTTGTGTTCAGAATCCTTATCATTTCTGTTTTATTCCTATTTAGAAAAGTATCCAATATTTTATATTTATTTTCAAACGCTTTAGTGTAACTGAAGAAAAACAAAAACTACCTTAATGATACTGATTTAAAAGAATTAATCAGACAAACAGATGCAAGGTTTAAGCAGCTTCAAGACAGATTCTGTTCAGGCAACAGAACATACTAAGAGTGCAGGTATGTTCAAGACACAATGAATATATTCAGTGTTACAGATAGTACAAATAAAAACAGACATTAGTGCTAATATGGCTAACACCAGCTCTTTGTTGCAAACTCTTCTCTCTACTGCTTTTCTTGAGAGAGCTTTTTCCAGACGTGAATTGTACCTTGTTTCCTGTTGTGGCATAATAAGGTTTTTCTAAAGGGACTATATCTAAATTGATACCTACGTCTTTGAGCCAGTTGCATATGGAAGGCAATGCACTGGATTCCCATTATATGCATTTTGTCAGAGAGAATTTCACTTTAAATTCATCTCTAGATTCACTATAAAAATGAAGTAGGCAGACCTTGGAATCATAAGGGATATTCCTGATACCTATTGATATGATCCACTGCTTTCTAACATGCTAGTACTGCGCACTCACAAAACATGTGGATTGATAACCCCACAGAGGTTTGGCAGTTGGAAGGCAGGTAGAACACACTTGATTTTTGTACATAGTGGGATTTTGGAGAGTGAGGTATATACTTGGAATAGATTAAGTGCAATCATTCTAAATCTAATAGTAATACACCGGAAATTGAGCTGACCCGAGGTCTTCAGAGCTTTCCACAACTGAGTCAAAAGAGCATTGTGGGGGTCTTGGTGCAAGTCAAAAAATGATTCAAAAGTAAAAAGTGTTGTGTTCCACTTTGCTCTGCCAGAGCCTGCCTAAAAAAGGTATCTTATAGATATGGGTAGTGGAGTAGCTAAGGGAGAGTCAATCAGGCTGCTAGTTGAGTGAATGCTTTACATTTATTGTCCAAGAACGATGTCTTTATCCTGATAGATTCATTTTCTTTAAAAAAAAAAAATTGTGCCCAGAAGTCAAATGAGATCTCCTGGAATATCCATTCAGGTTACTAAATGGATCATTCCCTTAGGTAAATGTTTGTACAGGGGCCATAGCCCAGACCTGACTAGTGTGCTACAACATATCCAAACAGTTTGAGGGCTACAGTTTCCTTATCTGGTGTACTCTTGATGGTATTTTATCTTCTCATTCCATTTCACTTGGACTGACTTCAGTGCATTGCTAGGAGTTTAAGACATGGGTTTATGAATTGCATAATTTCATCTGAGGTTCTAGGAAGCATTGCAGACATGTAGTAAAACCAATCTCTGTCTGTCTAAAGGAAACATTTGAGTTTTTCAGTCAACTCAAGGAGTTCTATTAGCTAATATAAATCAAATTATTTAGCCTGTAAGTGCTTTGGGGCAGGGACTCTCTTCTTGTTATATGAGTGCCTATTACACCGGGGCTCTGATCCTTGATTGCGGCCCCTAGTTGTTACTACAATGCAAATAAACAATAATAACAACAACTGACATGTTAAGTATTTTTTTTAAAGAACATCGGGAGTGGGGATGGGAGCATTGAAGGGATATTAACCACAGGTAATTGAATACAGGAAGAAGAGCCTACTTCGCTAGAGTTCACAGCTTTGTCAGGGACTAGCTCAGCAGTTTCCAACCCACGGGCCACATGCAGCCCAATTAGCACACAGCTGCGGCACAGCTCAGCTGTGTGCTAAAGGCCAGCTCCAGGGGTCGGGGGTGGGGCAGCCACCTGGCCCTTTGAGCTCCGAGGTCCAGGGTTGGGCAGCTGGCTGGAGCCGTGAGCTCCGGGGGTAAAGGGTCAGGGTCCAAGCTGCCGCTACCTTGCCACCCTGCCCCTGCGGCCCAGGTAATGCATTGTGGGCCGCAGAAGTAGCCCACAATGATAAATAAGTTGAGAACCACTGGACTAGCTTGTAGTGAAAGTCAAATACAAAATTGGATATATCCAAAGTAACATTCATGCACAGATTCCTAATTTAGGATGGATATTGCCCATTTCAGCTGCCAAAGGGAGGGAATTGTTGGCTAATGTCAAGTATTTTCATTTGTCTTTGTACTGTAGTTTCTACTACATTAGTTTCAAATACACCAATGTGAGTTTGCTCATAATGGAGAAAAAGAAATTAAATATGAATGTGTTACATGATTTTCCCATTGAATTTTTAGACCATACCTAGGAACCATATTGACTTTAAGGAGGATCCTGAATTTAATCACTTCTACAAGTGCTGTCCTAAAAAAGGATTACAGTGCATCCATGAGTTTTTTTTAAAGTTCATTTTTATTCATTTTACAATGCCCTCAATATGAAACACCAGATGTATTTTCTGCATGAGAAATCTAACAGGCAGTGGTTCTATTTCCAGATACTGAACTGCTGTCTCTGCAAATAAATATATTGACAACAACTACACTCTCATCAATTTGTAGTCATTCATGAAAATGCTTATGTTAATGCACATGATGATAATGCTGTGTCAATGCCATCAAATTATTTTTCCAGTAGAAATTCAGCATTTCAAATAATCGTTAGTGTTTTTATGAATTACTACAACTTAATAAAAGATATGGTGTCACCCCTGAAATCAGTGGTATAGAGTGGGAAATACTTCTCTGACACATCTGCTAGGGGATGAATCTTTGGGGAAAAAAGAAAATTAAGTTGGCTCCTCAGTGGCAGAGTCTATAGTTTCCTGGTTTGATCTATTAATACAAACATGTTAATGCTTACAAAAAAAAAGGGCAATGGAGACATGCCCTACTGAGTTAAGGAAGCTTCTGAGAAGGCTAGATGGCCAGAGCTCTCTACGTGTTGGTCTCACTATCCCAAACTTCCTAGAATAACAAATTCTCTGTGTCTGCTCAGCTTTAGTGAGATGGTACTAAAGCTTAGTACTTTTTAAACCAGGGCACAATGCTTTCTTCATTGCATGCTTGTGCAGAGGAAAGGGATTTGATGAATATGGGGACAAATCCTGAAGCAAAACTCCTATTGATGTCAATGAGTAAATTATGTATCGGGACTGCAGGTTTTGGTGCATGAGCAATGTGGCCAAATTATTTCTAATACAGCCTTGTTTGTTGAAGTCTTATACAAGAGGTGTGGAGTGGGTCTATGACTCAGGCCCTAAGAAAGAAAGACTTCTATAGTTCTTCTAGGATACCCACTATCCATAGATATTGGAACTAGGGGTGCTGGGGGTGCAGCAGCACCCTCAGGCTTGAAGTGGTTTCCATCATATACAGGGTTTACAAGTTCGTTCAATGGCTCTCTGCACCCCCGCTATACAAATTGTTCCAACACCCTCTGCCACTATCTTCATTTTTTACAGATATGTTAAATGAGGAGCTTTTGCCCGTTTTCAGTAGCAGATATTAAAAACTGGTCGTCATATTCTTACAGTATATATGAACCAGTGAACTGATAATTATACAAAAGGAAAGGGAGTTGAAATATCATCATCTTGTTTAATTCATGAAATGGATATAGATGCTATACTAAGAAACAAGACCTAAATTATTTCACTGTCTAGAGTGGGGATACTGTTTGAAAAGGTAAACTACGTGCAAACATTTTAACAAACAGAACTGCAGTTGCTTTATCGGATAAAGGACTAAATATAATTCAATAATTTAATCTTAATAAGAACATTGTTATTATAATACCTTTTGACTTTAATAGGGCTGTATATATGAATGGAGGCTGTAAAATTATTGTAATTTAAAATTATGTTAAGTCTGTTAGATCAGTAAAGGCATTTACATTACTAGCATGAGACTAGAATATTTTTATAATAATTGCTATTTTTCATTGTTAACCATACAGTATCTTGTTTTCTAAGTAAATGTATGTGACAGAATATACTTTATTACCTACTGTACATGCAATCTTTATAAAAATACACTTGATATGTCCTGGTACTTTGTTTATTATATTAATACAATTAAAGAACTAAAATTAAAACATCTTTTTTTATATATCCCTTGTGAAATATCACTGTCCAGACTCACTAAGAACCCACTACCAAACAATATAATAACATCGGCCAAGAGCATCTGAGGAGATACCTACTAGACTTCACAACTGCTAAACATTTAGTCCATTAGGATACATCATGATCCAGAGGCCTTCCATTAATGAATATAATTGATATATTCTTTAATATGTTCTCCTGCCATCTGCTTATTCTTGCGGCTAAGGCTTTGATTTATGGAAAGTGTTTTCAGAATGTTGCAAAATTGCTAGCAGGTATGATGGTATCCGTTAAATCACAAAGATGCTCTACAAAAATCTTTTACTATACTAGAAGTTCCCCAGACAACCTAGGGTAAACAGAATATTGTGTTTTTAAGATGTAAAACATTTTTAAAACTGATAATTAGACAACATTTTGAATTAGGTTAGGATTTGGGTTTAACATTTTGAATTACTAATATCAGAAGTGCCATCTCAAGAATATAGCTGGCATTTATGTACATGAATAATACAAATATTGTTAAATAGGAATATATATTTCAGCCCCGTTTTGGGAGCATTTTTGTTTATTTCTTTGAAAATAAGGATTTTCATTGTTTTATACAGCACTAGATAAACATTTTATTTAAAATGAAGATAGTATTGTCATTTTTATTATTATTATTCCATTAGTCCGTTCATTAAGATTTCTCTAATTAATGTTAAAAACTGAACATGCTAATTATTACTTGCATACTAAAGTTCTGTGATTAGCCAAAAGGAAGGAAACTTTGCTTGTGCATACATTATACACAGATCTGATTATAAAAGATTCTCTGTGCAGTGCTAAGAGCTCTCAATTCCATTTCATGGAGGTGCTCAGCATCTTGCAGAATCAAGCTCCTAATGATTAAATAAATAACATCAGGAAATCCAATCAGAAGTTATTAAAAAGATTAGGAAAGACACTGTGTGTTAGACTGCTTGATTAAAAATGGTGATGTTAGCAAATGATAGCCAATCAGGTTTGATGTAAGCATCACTTGTATTGACAACCGATGGGAGATTAAAGGAAAACCCAGAAGTTTTGATACTAATCAGTTGCAGGGCCAAAAATCTAATTATAGCGGGGGAGGTACAGTAGTGAAGCATGCTAAAGCTTATTGGTTAAATCACTGATACCCATCAAGTTAAATATATATCAGTTTCATTAATTGGCAACCACAAGACAAGTGTACTATATTCCGGATGATGATGATTTTGATATAATCCACCACATTGTGGTTAAGTATATGATTCATGTAATAAGAAAAAGGTGCCTGCAGGCTATTGTTCCTAGCATGGATTAAAATTTACATATTGCTTCTCCTTATGTCAAAACATCTGGTGTCTGCAAATGCTAACATTTCATTAAAAAGTTTCATGAGCTAGGAATAGTGGATTGGAAACATTGCCTGTGAATCATTCAAGCATTATAATGGAATAAGAGGCTATGTTAGGAAAAGGCAGATTACTGAAAACAATACTATAGTCAACGTTGCCAACTCCTATGCTTGTCAATGTGATGAGTAACTCTATGTTTGTAGGAGAGGGGAAAATGTCCCAAATCTTAAGAATTAATTAGTAATTTTCAATGGTTATGAAAAATTTCTTACTTTCAAAACTAAACAAAACAAAATTTTCATTTCATTTAAAAAATGTTCATTGAAAATTGCCACAAAATTTGAACCAAATGAAAAATGTTAATTTCCTTTCCAATTTTTTCACTGAAATTGATTGATTGTTTCCACCAGTCCTATTCTGTAGCAAAAAGTGTAATGAGTCCTAGTGAAGGAGACTGGCAGTGTCTGGTGGAATCAGATAGACTGCGGGACGCACGCCAATAAACTGCCTATTGAAGGGAAGATGTAACTGGCTTTTAATGCCGCCTTTTCTTCAGCTCTGTGTTTTAGTATAAGAATGTCATCCTTCCTCTGAATGAAACTATCATTCCCATTCATTGCATAGGCTGAACTGTTATACGGTGTTTAGCTATCTATCATTCAGACGTCATTTTGTTTACAACTATGCATTCACTTTAATCTCTAAAGATGTTTGCTTGTGACAGTGTAGATCCAATGGAAAGTGCATTGGAACTACCAAAGCAGCATAATTGTGGCAGGTACTTTAGAGGAGGTTTTTGGCAGATGATTTGGTTCAGCCTGTCATCCGTATGAGCTAGATGTGCTGTAAAGTGTGGTACAACTCACCGATACAACTGACCATAAAACTAAGCATCAGGGCGAGTGACTGGCCAACATTAGTCTTTTTTACTGTTACTTATTGTTACCCTAGATGTAAAAAAATATTAAATATGTCTACATTTCAATTAAACAGACAGAGCTGGCTCATATCCAGCTTCTCGTCCACTGTAACCCCTAGGTCCTTTTCTGCAGAACTGCTGCCTAGCCACTCGGTCTCTAGTCTGTACCAGTGCATGGGATTCTTCCATCCTAAGTGCAGGACTCTGCACTTGTCCTTGTTGAACCT